CCTCACGAGCCTGGAAGACTATGGAGCAAGGGCACTTGTGATCGATCGGATGGGATTCAAGCAACGTCCTAGCACTCTGGAGCCGGAAGATTTATGCTTGAAACTGTTGGAGTTTGATGATGGTCTCAAGTGTCTCAAATATTCTCCTTCTGTAGGTGCTCTTGGTGGATAGCTTGTCTACTTCCCTCGGTAAGTCACTTCTTAATTGATCTAGTGGAGCCTACCGTACCCGCCCAATAAATCGTCTATACCCAGCAAGTGGCCACCAACTATTGAACCAACAAAGAAGCTGCCACTAGTTGCTGGAACTATTTGGAACCCATGGATCATTGGTTCGCACCCAAACAGCAATGAAACCCATGATCCTGCCACCATAATGACCAATCGCCCATGGGAGCCGCGATCGCTTCTCCTTGCCTTGGTCAACTCTTGGACTTTGCTCTGCTCTTCCTTGCAGGCTTTCTGCTCTGCCTCCAACTTCGCCTGAGACTCACATGGATTCTGAAGGAAGGTTTCAAAAGGATTCTGAAGGACAGTGAGCCATCCTAACAGGTCATTTAGGTTCATCGTCTATGGATTCTTAGCCGAATTGAAGGGGCAAGAGTTGGAGCACCTCTTCATCCTTTGGATGCCTGGCTGCCTGACTGTGTTGTAAACTATCTTGTCCACGGGCATCTTACAGACGAAGCGTGAAACAGGAGGAACGGTGGAACAGTGAAACCGGGCGCCTGTCCGGGTCCCTCGTTGTGCCAGAAGCAAAGGAACCAACAGCGAACACATGCCCCGCGACCCACCAGCAACCCCCCCCCAGCACCAAATAAATAGGTTTTGTATGGTTTTGTTTATTACTCATACCGTAGTCGTACCCAGCCAGCGCCTGTAAGGATGTGGCCTTCTCCTCGCGCAGTCAGGTTGGATGTGGGAGAGACGTGGTTGTGGAGCGAAAATGGGTAGCCTTGCGAGCTTTTGACACGGGCTATCCCTGCGGATCCTTCAATACGCTGCAGGTCCAATCCCAATGGCTTGACCGCCAGAGGCTCTGGAGGTGCGAGACCGGTGGGAGACTCGCCGAACGAGTTCGCCGAACGAACCGGGATGGCCTCTGAAAGAACATGTGAGCGCTCATGTGTGTCTGTGTGGCTGCTCACACGACTCACGACCTCCGGGAATTGTTAAGGTAAACAGTCCAGGATTGTTTGTTTTAAAAAAGACACACACACACACATGCCCAAGCATCCTTGGATGCACAGGCATTCCCAGCTATGCCTTTGCACCTCATTTGACACCAATGAATGCCAAAGGTGTTCGCAAACCTCAAGTGTGTGGAGTGACATCAGCTGGCTGAAGAGTAGAGGAACAAATCGCAAAGCTTCTCTTGTGGCCTTTACATGCCTTTACCTGAACGATCCTGAAGGTCAAAGATCGTCGGAATCACCAAACATCACCAAACAATCATACAATTATGCATGTAAATACGTTTCTTGTCATACCAGGCAAATCATATAGGTTGCTTGAACTCATGGAGAGTCTCCAGTCAGCCGACACCCCAAAGAGTCTCCCTTGTGTTCAGTCCACAGCACCCATCAATGTCAAAGAAAGGCCGAGTCCCACCAGGTCACCAGGGTTTCTTGTATAACCTGTATATAACCATTTCTACCGCACTGGGTGTTTGGGTGGTCTATTTACGCTATTGATCCCACCACTACAACCATTCTACCACATTGGTGTTCGGATCTTTCTTCCTTCAGCCTCCATCCTGCAAGGAAGCTGATGCACGGAACGCTCTCAACACTCAGCTCCTCGAGCGATGTGACTTTCGACTTCAGCTCTGCTTGCTGAGCCTCCACAGAACCGAAAGCGACGAACACAGCGCAGCTGAGGTCAAACCATCCATCCGGTTAAATGTGAAGGGGGCGCAGAAGAAAAATGCATGTTCTTGGCCTGGTGGATTTTAATATGTTTTTCGGGGTTTTCTTGAAAGTCCCATTCTATCTACCAGCACCACCAAAGAGGTCGGTTTGGTGGATTTATGGAGCAACTTGGAGGTAAAAACCTGTTTGGAGGAACACCGCAAACTTTAGTTATAGTTGGATCACAGTGTTCATTGCTTGGTAGATTCTTGTGATTCTAGTGTCAGGTCATCCATCGGCGGTTCAGCCATTTCGCCTCTGCAAGAAGCAAAACAATCTAAGACAGGCTCTTTTCCATCCCAAACTCACATCCACGCAGAATTCACTCCATCAAACCTGTTCCCATGTAGCTTACGATCATCGCCACTCAGCCTACCTCCCAACGTTTGATGTCTTCCTCCTTGAACTTGCAAGCCTGGCTGCTGCGGACGAAGACAAAGTTGATCAAAATAGACTGGGCCAAACTTGAGTTCAACGACACCAACACTAGCATCTGATCAACTACTGCATATACCTGTTAAAGGCGTCAAGATGAACATACCCTGTAGATCCCTGTAGTGATATCTTTTGAACAGCATTCCATCGACAGCACATCGTCACATCGGTTGCAGGTTGGTTCCAAAAAACCCACAAAAGCGGCCTCGTACATGGACTTCCACTCCTCCGCCTGTCCCTTCTGGCTCTTCGCTTCCTTCTCCAGCTCCTGGGTCCCTTGGACGCATCGGTAGCCATGGTCGTGAGCCGAGGGACTGATGGCCGACCGAGGGCCGATCTGAAAAGAAGAAACCTGGCCTTGTTTGCGAGTCCGCTTTGATCCATTGCCCCACACACACAAAAAACAATCGACACAAATTGAAGAAACATCCACTGGGTCGTTTGCGACTTGCCCTCGCAGGTGCCTCAGCTACAAGGGTCGCTACTTCTACTCCTTCCCTCCTGACATCTCCTGACATTCCAAGCGTCGCTTCTTCTCGTCTTCCAGCTGCTTGACATAAGGATTCCTCAAGAAAACACACCACCCAAAAACGACACACTCGGCAAGCCCCAACGCCTGTGTGTCTCGTCGTTTGCTCCTTCTAAGAAACACCCTTCCCATACCTGGAACCACAACAAGGAAAAGCAAGTTTTGTAGAATGGGTTCAGCTGGGTGGAATTCATTTGGATTGGTAGGAGTGATTTGTGCACTCGCGTCAATGATCTGTGCACCAATCTTGCTTGAAAACTGCTGGGGTCCAAATCCAGGAGTTCCAGCTGGGTCGTTGAAAGGGTGTGTTCATTCCATGAACCCAAATGATCTTTGGGGGGGCATGTAGGTCTTCTTTTGGACCCGATTTGGAAAGTTCCAATCACCCAACCAATTGTTTGTCTCGTCATGGGTGTTTGCGCCTGACTACATGCAGGGGTGCCAATAGGCATCAATAGGCTATCAGGGTGTTGAACTGAGCCCTTGAAGTCGTCACCACCCCGCCCGCCATGGTGTCTATGATTTGACTTTCAATACACTCCCTACTTGACACCATGGAAAATAGGAAAAGGACAGCCCCATGAAGCACCTGGGCAAACACCTTCAAAAGCTCAGAGTCTACGAGGAAGTCCCATTGACAAAGTCCAATATTGACACATGTTGACATCTATCACGACATGTTACGACAACCTGCGATCATGGTTGAAGCCCCCAAGGTTTGGGACCAACACCTGAAACTGCAAGTTGTCTTGTCAATGTAGCTGTCGTATCTGTTTGCCACAGATTTCGCAAACGGGTTGCAGACTCCTCAACCTCAATCCATACGCTGCAGAGTCAAACACCGTCTGACCGTCTGAAGTCACGAAAACGGATCTGTGGGTGGACTGGCGTGCTCGAGGCGGGTCTCCCATGGTTTCCCCGGTTCCCTGTCGTTGCTGTTCAAAAGGACACGCTTCTTCACTCTCCGTTCCCAACGACGTGTTTCCTGGAGCCAGGGCTCGTGGTCGCATTGGCCCTCTTCTCCGCCTCTTCGAGCTTCTGCTTCATCGACTTGTTGTCAGCCTCCAATCCTCGGTTTGGTCATCAACTCGACTGGCCATCTCGAATCTGGATGAAGATTTGTGGGCACTTGAGGCCTGATTTTCAGGAAACTGCGAGACATTGCGAGACTGAGGTCTACAACAGGATCCAAAGCAGGGTGATGGTTAAAGGGTTTGGCAGCAAACAATCATCTCAACTTGCACCCTAAGTTAACAGCAATAGCTGAGTATGGCCAACTGATGCAAGTTGATTGTCATTAATACACACCACGTGAAAGATTCATTCGAACACAGATCAACACCCGTTGAACGACTAAGACCTTCAACTCGCTGCTCAGGATCGACAATTCTCGTCTTCAATCATATCGATCTGCAGCAGCTTTGCACGCGACCTGAACCACCGCGATGGACGAAAGACCGGTCACAGCTGGGTCAACAGCTGGGCGACCTGCCTTCACAAATGGGCCATGGATTAGGACACACTCTAAGCACTAGGAGGAATTGCACATGTTAGATTGTTCAATTTATGCTACTTATGGTTATCACATGCTCACCAAAATCAATATGAAGGCAAAACCCATACTTTTGCTGTGTCATGTCATTCTTCCACAAAAGTCTGCAATGAGTATCAAGTAACTGTACGTAGGCTACAGTCGCATCTGGATCCGCTCCATAAGTTTGAAGCAGCCAACGCAGCTGGTCAAACGCGGACTAGGCCCCCGGCTGCGTCTCCAGCTGACAATCTTTTTGCAAGCGCCAGTTTTCGCCTTGGAAGCCAATTCGCCAAAGACCCTGACAGCATTGGCCTAGTTTAACACATCCACCCCAAAAAGAGGCGGTGGGGTGGGAGACCCGTCAACACCCAACTGGATGTTGTCTTGAGTGTTGCAGTGGAACATGTGCTGTCCCAATCAACGGTTGAAGGGGAACGTCCATTTGGCTCGGTCGGTGCGCAAAGGATCTTGGCCTCCCATTTCTTGTCCATGGCCAAACAGGCAGTGGATGACAGTCGTGGATGTCATGTGCATAAATTCACCACATTTGGTTGGTCACGCTGCAAGTCTAGGACAATCACCTAAGAACGGACTAGCAGCCTATGGGGGTCAACAAGGAACATGTCTCATATGCACTCTTACCAGCATTTCTAGTTCCCAGATCCAGCACCTCAACAAGTCCAATCTCCTGCCATCTTTCCAAGAAGCTCTGCTGATTCGCCAGCTGCTCCCGCAAACTCTGATTTTCCGCCCGCAATGCCCGGACGTCTTCCTCGACCTGTGTCTTTTGGAGTTCCTTGGCTGCACAAACCTAGTTGACCGTGGTTAATGTTCACTCCTCATCATGGTCCATGTCCTGACCTAATTGCAAGGCCTTGAGATCTAGACTCTAGATACTGTAGGGGTTAATTAAAGTGAAACACCTCCCCACTCCGCGCTTCAACAGGTGTTTTATGTTGGCCTGGCCCAGGCCCTGCTCCGCCCAGGCACCAAGCGCCGACGTTCGAGTTCGCCGATCTCACGGGCTTTCTTCATCTCCGCGAGGACCTGGCGATCTCCCCAGGGTCTTTCGCTCGGGTTTGCCAGGTCCGAGCTGTGCTGATCCCGGATTGAGTCGATCCTCCGGTCAATGAAAGGGGCTTCAAATTCCAAAGTTCTCATCTTTCGCCGGGTGAATGTGTTTGACTCATCCTGGAGTGAAACAACATCTGAAATGTCTTCGGAATATCCACGAGTAACCATTGTTCATCCCATTGTTCCTAGATGTTTTTGGACTGTTCCATCTTCAATCTTCTCCAATGTACCACCCTCCTAGTTTCAATGGTGAGAAACTTGCCTGGTCACCACTTATTCATGCTCTAGCTACTCCCGGATGACTTCCAATATAATACCCAAACGCTCCATGTATGCCATATATGCCTACATTGGCCCCCCAAACCACCCCAATGTAGGCATATATGGCAGTCCCATGGAGTGTATGGGATAAGTAGATCCCACAATAGATACGTCGGAAAGTGAACACCTCTCAGACATCGGATCTCATGGATTCTCGGCACCTGCTGTGACTCTTCCCCAGGGCTGCGGCTCAACGCCTCACACGAGGAGTTTCATGGCAGGGGTGGCAGCACGTCTTCAACAAAGGGTTTTCGCCGTTTAAGTCTCTTGAAGCTCTTGAATGGGCAAAGGAATGAAAAAAGGTCCATTTGTTTGCAATGAAGTGTGGTCCTCAACAAAGGGCTTGGTCTAGTCTATTGAGGGGGATGGCGCTCCTTTTTATTATGCTTTCCAACTAAACGTCAAAGACTTCGACAACCAAACGAGAAAGACACATACACAAGCCACAAGGTCACGAGGTCCTGTCACACCACCGAAGCGACCGGATCGCTTCGGCCCCCGGGCCACGATCTGATCCCGGTAGCGGCTGTTCTCTTCCGAGAGGAACTCCGCGTGCCGCTCCGCTTGCCTCGGTGATGGGGCACTCCGGTGCCCCAAGCGAGTGTCCCGTCACGGTGGATTGGGCGTGTGGGCGCCAGGAAATGCCAGATTTCGTCCAAAAGTTTCGAGTGATTTCGTCAAAAGCTTTCGAAATCCATTTTGCCATGTTCTGCCTGGCCCAAGATCCCTCACATCTTCTTTCACCACAAAGTCTTTGACCCTTAAATCCCCAGATTGCCCCAGATCATCCCAAATCACATATATAATCATGTTTTATCCACCATATCCACCAAGATGTTTCTGAGTTTGGTCTCCCACCTCCCAAAGATTCCTGGCCACACCCATCTCATCCTCTATGAACAACCGGGCGGCTCCATTCGCTTCCGTACCGAGCTCAACTCCTCCTTGCGCTCCTCGCGCGCACGGCCTGTCTCGCGCTCCAGGTCCTTCACCTGGTGTTTCAGCTGCAAGCAGCTCCTGCCGTGGCGAGGGTCCACTTCGGAATGCTCCGACTACAGAGTGTAACCCACCCTCGGAAATGGGATGTCGGTGGTGTGACGAAACCGGAGGCGTCATTGTACCCACAAATATGTGGAAGTCGTTCAACAGTCGGGAGCCTTTGGGATGAACATGAAACCAAGCCAATGTTGGTGTTCGTGGTCGATTAAAGACTCTGGTCGTCATTGTATTTGCATTTATTTCCACAGACTGGGTGGCTCTAGGTCTAGGTGGTGCAGGAGTTCTTCCAATGACAATGTAGGGCTGGATCAGCGGCCATGACACTTGGTACCCCTGACTGATTTGATCACCACATGATGAGGATTGTAGTATTCAAGGATCATGTATGTTCCTCCTCATCGCTAACATGTTGGATTGAGAGCAACGATACTGTAACCTTATTTGCAGGGCAAATCACATTTAAAGTGTTGAATTCATATTTCACATGCAAGCGTATCATTTTTGCCATAACCATGTATTCCCACATGAAGAGGACAGGTGGGATATTTTGACAATTCTTCACATCAATTTAATCCTGGAGGATTCTGATCAGCCGATGTGGAGAAGCAGCGAAGCTTGTCTCTCACCCACAGGCATTCATCATCTTATATGCAGCTATTCTGGAGTCAGCATGTTCAATGGTTCCCAGCTTTCAGGGAAAGGTATACAATCGATCTAATTACATGCCCTGACTGGGTTGCCCCCAGTCCGTTCACCCACCGACGCCCGTGACCAAACGCCCTCCAAACCTCCAGCCCAACGGAAGGGATGAATTCCTATACCTCATCAGCGTTTCCCTTGCATTCAGCCTTCCGCCCCTCTTGTACCTTGTCCGAGCGCAGAACCCATGCGGCAACGGGAGGGGTTTGTCGCGTTCTGCTCCTGTCGAGCTCCGTGAGGCGTTCGTGGGCGCTGCCCAACTCTTTCGCGTCGCTTGCGTGGAGCTTCACCTCCTGGCGCGAAGGCGATTCTGCGAGGATTCCTCCCTTTGGCCGAGGCGGCCTAGTTGGTGATCACACAACTCTGCCCGAGGATGATCTTTGAGCTTGACAGAAAGGATGGGGCAAGAGGATGTCCACTGGACAATGCTCAAACGTGCATGGTCTGAAAAATGCTCCCATGGATGTTTGGTGTGTTGTGACCCTGTCATGTAAAACAAGCAAAATGACATTCTATTGGCAACCAGCTTGCAGTTGCGCGATGAATTCCACAATCGCAACGGCGGCAACAACCCATAAAACAGATTTTTTGTTTAACAAAAACATTTTTTTTTAAAAAAAAAAAAAACATACAAAAACAACACTGCAAGCAACAAAATCCAGTTGTACATCAACCTCCCCTCTTTTCGGTGACCGGTGGTCTTCGGAACCGCCTGGGATGGTGATCGCTCCGGAACCGGTGCATCGGTCATACCGCCGAAGTCATACTCGCGTCCTCTTGGTACTTCTGCTCTGCCTACCGCGATGAAGGAACTGACTGGGTCGGCAGCGAATTCCCCAGTTAGCGAATCTCGAGTTTGCCTCAAAGTTTGCCTCTTTCAATCGTCCTGTAGGTGGAGGGTCGGCAGCGAACAGCCTACACGTTATGAGCCAGCCAGTTCTGTTGAGGGGCCAACGGTTTCCCACACATGGACCAATGGACTGATCAGCAAATGATCGCAGTGCAAATCATTAAGGGCTCAGGCTTCTTCAGGGAAGCTCCCCCCCCTGCCGGAGTCGAGTAGCGAGTCTACGTGTTAGCTTAGCAAATTCAACCTACTCACTCTTAGGCCTACCCACCTCCCAAACAAAAACACAATATTATATATATATACAGTACAAATGTACAATATATTACATAATGTCATCAAATGGTGATTAGAATCGGTTTAGACACCTGTTAAAACTTCGGTCACGGCTCTTTGGAGTAGCACCCTTAAATCGACATCCCGCAAGGTACACTTGACGTTTATTTATTGAAACACCAAAACACATCAATCAATTGCAGCACTTATTTACAGCAAGGCTTTGTTCTGACTTTTTTCTTGCGTTGAAGCTATCAGTATTATAGTTCATTTCTTGTTTAATTTCATTCCACACCATGCACCACACATGAACTCGACTGCGCCTTTTGTGCTTCCTCCTGCAACTCTTGCTTCTCACGCTCCAGGCGATTCACTTCTTCCGTGGTGTCCCTCATCTTCTGTTCCCAATCCTGAGCGCGAGTTTCTCTATTTGCATCCGGGCGGGCCAGTCCAGCCCAAGAAAACAACATCTCGAAGAAGACTGAGAAAAGTTCAGTTGGATTTCGGCTTTATATCTTCAACTTCATGCTGCCAAAGTTTTGTGCTGTGGGTTGTTTGATTTTTTTCGCGAGTATCGTTGCCAACTCACGAGGCTCCGTGCTACAGAAAATAGATAGACTCGACAGAACTCCTGCAATTTACGAATGCTGAGACACAGCTTAGTCACATTGGAACATCCTTCTCTCAGGAGCAAGCCTTGGGATCCCTCTCCTTCATAACACCTCTTCAGTGGAAGAAACCACTCCTTTTACAACACCTCAATCTTTGACCTCCCACTACAGGCAGCTCCTTCTCCCTCAGATCCAAAGATGCAGGGCACTCCCAGCCAAATCCAGTCAACAGCATTGTTTCAACCAACCTTTTCAATCTCCTCCGTTGTTACGATTTTCCTGCATCTCCCCGCCCAGCCCAGTAGCCAGCTTGGCAGATTCCAACTCCAAGCTGGAGGCTTCTAGCTGGCTCCGGAGGCCCAGCACCTCTCAAAATGCACCAACAGGTGTAAAACCAATGGTGTGCTTAATGTTTTGAGAAGTTTGCTGTAGGCATGCATTATAATATAATGACTTGTTTGCGTAGGACTTAGGACTGGGGCTTTTCCATGTTAGTGTGGTTTCTTGTTTTATTTGCGCTTTGACCAAACGTATCTCAAATCCCATCCCTGCTATACATTTATGAGACCTGCTCATTGGGCTTTGAGTGGCATAAATCCTGGCAACTACACAGGCAACCAATACAATAGTAGGTTCAGTAGGCCGCTGAGGTGCTTGGTTTGACATACTTTGCCCCACACCCCAAAATCTGCAAATGCCCCGTTGCCAGAATCAGATCACATCAAATCCATTCAAAATATTTCAAAATCATTCAACCCCCATGTCCATTGGAGGTTCTATGGGAGGTCCACAAATTCCACCCAGATGACATGGCCGAGATGCCACGTGCGTGACTTGAGCTCCAACCTTCGGTCGCCCCACCTGGCTTCGACTCTCGTCCAACTGCACGGACAACTCCACCGCTTTGGCCTGGGGGCGGTGGAAGTGCCGACGAGTCTAGAAGATGGGTCATCAGATCGATCAGATTTTATGACCTGATTGGAATCACCTCTCTTCTGAGTCTTCTGAGGAGTGATGGAACCAGTTAGACCAAGTCAGGACATCACTGCCAGAAGTCCACTGGTGACCTCTTTACAACTCTTCTCCGATCCAGTGGCCACATGGTACACAAACCGACAAAGGGTGGCGTCTGAAGTGTGGCCAACCTATGCTGATCTTGGCATTTGCTGGAAGCAAATTGGCCGGCAAGTCAAGGTCATGCCGAGTCGCGAGTCCTAGAGTCTCCGCATGTCTTCCTGACTGTTTCACGTCTTTCATTTCATTTCGTTTGATCCTGGACGTACAACCCTATGGCCCTCTTGGTCCAGGGGCCACAACCGTCGCAAGAACAACAGCTCACTGGGTCACCAGTCAACCCTAACTTGCTTGAGTCTACGAGCTAGAAATTCAAGAAGCCCCAAGTACATTCAACATAGCATATAACAGAATATGTTTCAATTCTAAGTCTGTTTTCACTAGGAACAAGTGCATCGCTACTATTAACAAGTGCCTTACTAGTAGTAATAAGGTTCGCTACGAACGGAACAAGTGCATCGCTCGTTTCGTCTGTTTTCACTTTGAGTTTGGGTTCAGCTTCGGATCTCCCACCCACGGCGAGGCTGGCGCCTTGTCGCGCTGCGCAGCTTCTTCCAGCTTGCCCCGCTCGGCGGAAAGCTGCGCCTGACCGAAAGGGCCGGTATGGTCGGGTCATCCCGAGAGGAACGCGATCAAAGCACAGACCCAAATTCTCTAGGGGGCACACATCTACAGTGTCATTGTGTCATGGATTTCGATCCAAAAGCCAACATCATTGGATAGGACTGAACTGCTGCAATTACAATTATTCTCCACTTGGAGGGGTCATGTTCAGCCTCCAGTCTAGTCTAAAGATTAAGGGGCCATGGTTCAACCCAACCAGAAGTTCCACCCTTGATCTGTACCAAACCAGGCCATCCCGAACACTTGCGGCATGCCTTCAAGTCCTGCAGCTCCTGCTCGAGGCGCTCCTGCTCCGTCTTGGAGTTCCGCAGGTCCGAGGACTGCTGCGCCAAGAGGCTCTTCCAGGTCTCCACCTCGGTCCGTGTTCCGAGGTCGAAAGCGGAGCTGGACACGACGGCGGTCTTCGGCGTCCGGGTTCGGTGGCGGAAGTTGAACTTGGCGGAAGTAAAGGGTAGCTCCCAGCGGTGGTCCACTCGTTCAGGGTTCTCTGAATGGACTAGTCTCCGTAGAACTGCCCCTAAAGTGTAGGTGAACAGTGGCCGTGGATTGTGCTAAATGTTCTCCATCAACCATCAGCTCTTGTAGACTGGATGTTTGATGATGCTTGCCATTGTCTCTCCCAGATATGCAGCCATGTGGGATGGTCTAAAGAAATCAGCACAGCACCTGCTGAGTGTTGGCAAAGTACGTATATGCGTTTGAGCACTCCTTTTGTTGCTGAACATGTTCGGCCATCCGTCGGCCGAAAGGACCCCACCGGGTTTGGGTCGCCACACCGTCTTCTGATGTTGCTCCTCTCGTTCCGTGGCCTGCTGCAGGAGTCGTCTCACATCACCTCACGGCGGGAGGTGATGGACACAGAGCGCCCCCCAGACTCTAGAGAACTCTGAAGTAAATGAACTAACTGATAGTGAGGTCCCTCCAAAGCAGTTTTGCCATGGACACCGCAAGGGAAACATTTCAATTTATGTATAAGCAACAGGGAATCCCAAAATGCTGGAACAACCTCAAATATGTTTTCCGGGAAGTGGATTGCTCTAAGCCTGATAGCAGCAGTCATTAGACACTCATGTACGCTTCGTCATTTCCGATCGGACGCACAAATAGCAGTTGTTGGAATATGATCTTACAATACAAACTTGTATACATGAAAGACATGTTTCATTTACCCCCGAGCACATAGATTGCTGTGCACTGCCTAAGAGAAATTGTGGCATCGTTCATACGCTTTCAAATTAAATCCCCCCGGTGGAGATGTATTGATGACTCACCGTTCAGCTTGCTTTGTTCACAAAATGAACCACGATGAGTTCCCTGAAAGTCTTGGAAAGTCCCAAGGGGAGAACAACCGCAAAGGAGCATCTGACCACCTGACCGCTCGCTGAAACTTGAAAAAGGCTCTGCAGGGTAGTATCTTCATATCTTCATACTCCGATGCTACACAACAGTTTGAAAACCTGTGGGAAATTCCTTCGACCGAAGGATCATGAAGGATCGCGTTCCCTCTCCGGACGCGGTCTCCGGTGGAGGTTCGGGCCAAAACTCCTTCGCCCCAGAGAGTCGCTTCGTCCTGCCTGAGTCGGACGCCACGCCACGCAGAATGGGCTCAGACTTCTCCAGCCTCGGGCGCCAAGGGCGAGGGTGCGGCACGGGACAAGGGCGGCAGCTGGGCTCCAAAAGCGAAGCCCAAATAACGAAAAGCGGGCTGGACGTGCTAACCAAAAGAAGTATATTTGAGGGACTATAGGTGTTTAAGATTCTTTAAGAGGCAGAGTCACATTGACTAATCGAGTGTTGTCCTGGTCCACACAGCGTGTTCCTAAGGGACGAGGTTCAGCAAGTCTAAGGAAAATCTGACTCAATCTCAAACGTGTACTGTATGACTCTCAGTGTGCCGGTCCCCTCAGATGTCTCTATTGACTCTCTATTGAGCGCCTCGGGATGCAAACTGCCCATTCTCAAATGCTTCACACGTTCGCATCCAATGACCCACTCTGTTCACACCCAGTCCACTGCTAAGCTATCGCAGCAGGAGTGTGGAGTCTTTGGAAGGCTAGATCTTCAAGAAGGGACCCTTCTTGCACGCACTCAGTCTAGGTTTGTTCTCATGATATGTTGGTTTTTCCACTTTTCTTTTCTCCCCCACTCGCTGTGTAACTTTTTTGAGCTCCGACTCCGATCACCGGCTACATTTCTTCGGCAATTCCCCTTAAACATCCCCAAACAATATCAAGACTGAATCAACACTACTAACTTGAAAAAAAAGGTGAAAGTTTTAAGGCCCAGTTCTACACGGGCAAACTCACCACCTCATCACCCCTTTCCCCTAAGCCCCTCGCTGAGCTTCCGCCTGGAAGGTAGGCAGTTGGACATGACAAACTGCATGAGTTCACCAAACGAACACTCATGACACGCCACCCGACAACCCGACTTAACCACCCAAAGTGACCAGAATGTGCACTGCGATGTCAACGGAGATTCGAGTGCCGGGAGGTACTGCCAGTGGCGGATCAGTTTCTTGCTCCAACTCGTCTTGGGAACTGCCAGACTGCATGCCCAAGCATGAACCAACTCAGAGGGCCCATAAATCAGCTCGAATGTGGATCAGCATTGGATCAGCAACAGAAAAAAAAGAAGCCGTGTCTCAGAATCACCATCACACAGCTTCCTTCTTGACACTCTTTTACCTGGCAAAGCAAATCCAAACCTTCAATCGTTCGCATCGCATGGTGCCAAACATCGCCGCCAAAGACCACATGTACTACCACATGATTCACATGTTCCACCCATATGCACCTGAAGTCACATCCATATTCACCTGCCCAAAAATCGACTCTAGCCCATCCGGCCCAACTTTGGATGGCCCATGATGGCCCAAATTTGGATCCCTCCACAACACTGCATATGTAGGGGAAATGACCTAATTAATCAATCCATTCGGCTCCATTTGAGACAAATGCAAGTGACACATAGATTCCAAAAAACATTGGATACATGTATATAATATAGATATGAAATAAGTGGATACGACATCATCCAAGAGGTTCCAAGTGAACCTATGTCCACCACTCCCAAGCTCCCCCAGT